AGCCCCATCCAAACCCCTCGTTCCTGTGTCAAAGACTCGGTTCGGATTCCGCCCCATTCAAAGTCGAACCTTGACCAAGGCGCCTTGCTGATGTTGTAACACTGAGCGTCGAGCCGCCAATCGAAGGTAGAACGCCAGGAGGCGCGCTTCCACAGAGGCAGAACGAGGGGTCCCGGCCAACATCTGCCGCTCAATGGGACGCCGAAGAGCGGACTCCAAGACGAACTGGGATCACCAATCATCCATGGCAATTTGCTGTGATTGGGGCTGCCGGTTGACATCAGTGCGACTGGCGCGCCGTGGAGGCAAACCTTCACGGTCCAACGACCTGGCTTCAGCAGCAGCGGAGCTCCAGGGGAGAGATCCGGCCCCGCGGGAGGCCTGCGCTGGATCTGGGGAAACCAGAAGTCACCGATACCGTTACTCCCCGGACCTCTCCCGGTGAGCGTTCTGACCAGAATTTCGAGACGAATACAGCGGTGGCGACGAGGGCATCACAGGAGGCCCAAAAAGGCGAAAACGAGACCAGGGTAGCGGAATGGGTATCTGTTCCTCCTCTAAAGATCGATTCGCGAAATCGGATCGAATCGCACAAGATCGCATCGCCAACGAATCGTCCCGAATCGAACCGAGATCGGAGCGCCGTGCCTAGCTCTCCTGCTGTCCCTGGCCGATGCTGGCGAGAATCATGCAGAGTCGAATCGAATCGGAATCGCGGCCTCAGCCGGCGAATCGAATCGCATCGAGTAGGACAGTGGGCGGCCCTGGAGATCCTGAGATCCTGGCGTTGCAAATGTTTCACAACGGGCGTGTTCGCCCAGTTTCGGGCCCCAGGACCCTCGCAGATCGATCGGGCTCGAAGGATAACGCAAAAAAATGGAGTCTGGGGCTCGGGTCGTGATGTCGTGCGATGTTGCGATTTCTTCGCAACGTCGAATCCCAGGGGAGGTCGAAATGCGGAGGGTCGTCCAGCCACGTCCGATGAGCCGCAGGCTGACGGGCAGTTCTGCAAACACCGTACATTTGCTTGCGTCCTTCATCAGGCTGACCATCTGCGACCTCTTGTGCTTGTTCTTGATATGCGAGAAGCTCGTCCCAGGAGACGGCGCAGGGATGTTGTGCAACTGGCGAGGAAACACGGCACAGAACGGTCAAGAATTCAGCATTCACAAATGATGACATGCTGTCAAGCCCTCCTGCCATCATTTCCAACCTCTCCTTCGCCCACCCATGCTCACTGCTGTTCCCCTTGTGATAGCTGGATTTCCTCACCCCTACCTAAATTAAAATACGATACACCATGACGCATCGCAGAAAATGGACGTTGATGGGGTCCGTGATATCGCTTTGCATTGGACACTGCACAATAGCGCAGATCGACTCCTATCTACCATCGTGCCCCCCTGGAGCGTAACGCGTGCTATAACTCTCCTGTACTGCCCATCAGGGGATCTGCAGTTCTTCAAGGGCCACCCCCGCCTACTGTTGCATCCGCCCTCCTCCCGAGGCCCCCTATAGGTGCCTCTCAAGCTGTCTCCAGGGCCTCCGAGATGCCCAAGATGGCTTCCGAACGACCTAACGTCTCCAAGGTCACCGGAGGGGCCCGTGCTTGCCTAAAGAAGGCCCCGAGTCGAAGACTCTCTCCAGGAGGGCCCTAGAAGGCTAAAAGCATGTAACAACATCTAAGGCGATTAAGTGTTTTTCTGACGCCCAGATGTTCGCGCCAAGAAGCTGCAAGCTGACAACGACTCCCCCCAGGCGGCTCCCAGGAGGCTCCAAGCGCCCCCAAGGCGGCCAGGCGACAGTACAGTCAAGGACCCCCCAAGGCATCCCTGGAATGGCTCAACACTTAGCCGTTTGCGACTCCAATGCGGCCCTATGATCCTTGCAGGCGGCCCCTAAGACAACCTCCCTGACGGCCCTAGGACCTCCCCAAACAGCCCCGAGACTGCCCCAGACGGCCGACAGACGCCGGCGAGAAGTTGTCCGAGTAACTCGCGAAATGCTCTCAGATGGCCCTGGAACGCCACATCGGGGCCTCGGGAAAGCACTGAGGCACACGAGTGTCACGAGCACATCCTGGACTGGGGAAGCGGATGTGTCACATGCTTCGGCCCTCAGCGCACACATTGAAAGTAGTCATTACAGTTTACGCACATCTCGAACCTGGGGAAGGGAGAAGTCACATGCTACAGCTCTCTGGGCCCTGGGATCGACAGCTTGATATGCTGCGGCCGTCTCTGAGCTGCAGAGGCACGCTGTTAACTGTTCGGTTCCCCTGAGACCTGGTGGGGAGACGCAACGAGTTACGCCCATGTGGGCCGCCACATGATGCCGCCGTTATGGGCCTGGGGAATCAAACTGCTACATGCAACCACCATCGAAGCCTGGGAAAGATGACTGTCACGTACTACATACTTCTGGGTAGTTCTCGAGGGCTCGTCACGCCGAGAGCTGCGCTGGTACGGTGGTGGAACTTGCTGCAAGCATGTGGACGGTAAGATCGAAGCCAGTTGAACCAACGAAAGAGCGCGAGAAGAAGTCGCTCTCGTGAATCATCAAAGCAGGCTCGGACTCTTGACCTTGCCTTGATTGGAATATTGACTCATCGCACTGGCATGCCCTGCCATCCTCAGAGATTCCCACGAGGTGTGAACATCGGTACATTGCTGAAGCACTCCATCAACAAGATTCCGCGTCGTCGGCATTACATTCAAACCACTTGGTATGGAGCCCCACCGCCACGTCTTGCAAAGTCTCCCTCTCATCCTCCAAGATCCTACACTGCAGCGAAATTGTAAAGTACAAGAGAGAGCATCATGATAAGAGGAGAGCAGACGAGAAGGACGAGAAGAAATGCTCGTAGTCGGAAGTTCTGACCATGGAGGTTAGTGTAGTGCGGAGGAGGAGGAGGAGGAGGAGGAGGAGGAGGGAGGAGGAGAGGAGGACGAGGAGGAGGAGGAGGAGGAGGAGGAGGAGGAGGAGGAGGAGGAGGAGGAGGAGGAGGAGGAGGGAGGAGGGAGGTAGTCGGTAGTAGTCGGTAGTGCGGTTAGCCATGCAGGAAATGTGCAGCAGGAGCGCCTCTCTGTTCTCCCGGATCTTCTTGGTAATCTTGGCAGCCTGCACATTTTGGAGTTTTCGGTTGTCGGCCTTCCTCGACTTCTTCACCATCCTGACATGGGGGGGGGCATGTGGGACCCATCGCTATCGCTATCGCTATCGGCTCGATGTCCAGTTGGACGCAGCCGTCCGCGCGGCCGAAGCTACGCGCGCGCGCCCGAGGCGCGTGGGGGGGGGGTCACCCCCCGACACATGCTCCCGCCAGAGGGGCGGGGGCCGAAAAGGACCGAGAAAACGGGCCCAGGAGTTTCGGGGGACCATGTGGGACCTGAGGCATGTCTTACTGAACTTATCCTCCTACAGGATGGGGGGTGAACAACAAAATCCTGACCATCCATGCGGGGGGGTCACGTGAGGCCACGGATAGAAAAGTAAAGGGGGGACGTCGTCACAGGGAGACATGAACCCATCAACATGCCTTGGGAACACAAACGAATCAGCAGCATCCATTAGGACTAGCCCCAGCAGTCTCGCTGAATAGTTTGGCTAAAGCTTAGGAGGCGAAATCTGAACCAGTCAAATGGCGGGCATGGCACACAGCGAGATACAGAATCTCATCAATCACAGTAGAATGATGCCTAGGCTTGGCAGCAAGCGCTCTTAGAAGGTGTTGGCCGACGCCCTGGCAAACTTGCACATTATTGCCGCCTCAGAGACGTGTCAGATAGGGCAGAAAGAGACGGCGGCTCAAGTACGATGATACTCACGAACACTGGGAAAACAAAGCAAACTTCGAAATATCTGAGGGAGCTGCCAGACGACAAATGACGAGCATGAAAAAGAACATCGAAACTGGAGCAAAGCAGAAATTGTCTTAGGCATGTCTGGCCTTTGCCCCAGAGTGAGCGCGAAGATTTACAGGTGAATGACAGGGAACAGAAGGGCTGCAAGATCTCGAGCCTTGAATACAACCCTAAGCATGTAACCATGTATGACCGTGAACAAGACTGGAACATCGGCTCGGCCACATTGCAACTCGCTACCCGCATCCAGCATTCCTGAGAGCCCTCCCCGTCCAAACCAAGGAAGACTGACCACAAGACTGGCGTTCCTCTTGCCTGACTCATGCTCGCAACATGCTGCCAACGCGCTGAAGCGCGTTCATCTCACATCACTGCTAAAGCTCTTAAACAAGCGAGCGAACAGCGGATTATGATTGCACGGACATGAAACGGATGGGCAATTTGGCACGCCCGTGAAGATCGCAAGATAGCTGCGTACGCAGTTGAGCGCAGGCGGGCTGTGCGAGGTCGTAGCAGCGTTTCCCCACCCCCGCAACCATCTGCCTCAAAGGCCTCACAGAGGGGCCGTGATAGCAGCACATTGCGAACTGTACACAAGCCTTGAGTCTAGGGGTGACGAACCAACCACACACACACACACACAGATCTATAGGGGATCGGAGAGGGCTATGGGTGCGTGTTGTAGGATGGGGGTCCCCGCTCGAAAACGGGAGCGTCCCCCAGGATCCAACAACCCGCACCCATACCCATAACCAGTCCTCCTCCCAACGACCCCGCCTATGGGTATGGGTGTGTGTTGCTCGCTCGTCAAGGGAAGAAGTCATCGACGGCAGGTACGGCAGGTTCGCGTCGTGTCGACCCCGGCGTTGGTTCCTGACACCGCGGGGATCGTTCAAACTTGCACGGTCGGCCGGTTCAGAAACGCCGGATCCGTCAACGATGGACCGACTCTAGGCCATTGGCGGCGCTCAACCTTGAACGCTGGCAGCGGGGTCGCGACGAGTCGACACGACGCGAACCCACCGCATACTCCCCAGCAAAGGCGCCGCCCAGGCTCTCAAGGTGCTCTCGCATGCTGGCTCGGCCAGTGCGGTGCGCCTTCCCTCCACCCGCCTCTCGCCGCCGTGCTGCCCCCCCGACGCCTGCCCCACGACGCCCGGACCTTTTTCTGCCCTCGCGCTCTGAATCGCCACATCCGCTGCCGCGCCTGCTGCGGGCTGGACTTCTCCTCCTCCTCCTCCTCCTCCTCCTCCTCCTCCTCCTCCTCCTCCTCCTCCTCCTCCTCCTCCTCCTCCTCCTCCTCCTCCTCCTCCTCCCTCCCTCCTCCTCCCTCCTCCTCCTCCCCTCCTCTCCTCCTCCTCCTCCTCCTCCTCCTCCTCCTCCTCCTCCTCCTCCCTCCTCCTCCTGCTCCTCCTCCTCCTCCTCCTCCTCCTCCTCCTCCTCCTCCTCCTCCTCCTCCTCCTCCTCCTCCTCCTCCTCCTCCTCCTCCTACCCCCTGCTCCTCCTCGCCTCCCGAGCCCGTCTGGGCGTGGCCGATCAATGGCGTACAATCCTCCGCCCCCCCATGCCCAGGAGCGCGGTGGAGGAGAGCCCGGATCGGTACAATACGCCTCCCTGGCCAAGCCAGGAGGGCGTAACTACACCGCTCCTGGGGCCCCAGGTTGGGCCAGGCCCAGGGCACTGGATGTGTGTAGATCTCGACGCCCAACAGGAACGCGGGGGAGGAGGGTCCAGAAGGGGGAGGAGGGCCGGCGCCGCCAGGGCACCTCCGGGCGAGGGAGCGCGCTCACGCGGCCGAGGCGCCCGCGGCCTCCAGAGGGCGCGGCAGGGCAAGAGGAGGAGGAAGACGAGGGAGGGCGGAGCCAGCAGCGGGGATGAGAGAAAAAGGAGGAGGCAGGAGGAGACGAGGCAGAGAAGGAGGAGGAGGAGTAGGAGGAGGAGGAGGAGAAGGAGAAGGAGGAGGAGGAGGAGGAGGAGGAGGAAGAGGAGGAAGGAGGAGGAGCAAAGACGAGGACTAGGAGGGAGGAGGAGGAGCGAGGAGGAGGAGGAGGAGGAGGAGGAGGAGGAGCGAGGAGCGAGGAGAAGGAGGAAGAGGATGAGGCAGAAGGAGGAGGAGGAGGAGAAGGAGGGGGAGTAAGGAAAAGGCAGTAGGGAAATGATGAGGATTTGTTTCACTATCATGCTGAACTCTGGAAAACAATCAAAAACGAATGTTTGAGGGTGAAAAGCAACGGACCCATGATAAAGAAAGTGAAGGGCGGTTGCAGGGAGGGGAGGAAAGGCGCTGCTCAGCCCAACACCAGGGTGATGCGGGGGGCCACCCTGCACACAGAGACCCTGGGCGGGGGGGCGCGCTGAGTACGAAGAATCTCCTCCGTCCTCAAAGGCTGCTGGACTCGGCTCCATGAGCTTGACTTGTGTTGGGATGGCAGGCCTCAGCGTTCTCGCAGCAAGGCATGAAACATCTTGGGGGAGACCTTGTGGGTTTTCTATGGCTGCACCACAACCAGCTGGAAGGTTGGCTGGTCTCTGCTTGGCCCACGCACCGCACAAGCAACAAGAAAACATACTCACCCTTGGCTCATAACATCATGTGAGGGGCAGCGAGCTGCTGCCCTGCAAGGAAGGCAGGGTGGTCTACTAGCACAGGCGGCTCCTCCACGCCCAGCTGCGCGCAGAGACAGGCACCCATGGGCCCCGCGACCTCCACACGGGGGTGACCACCAGGAGGCAGGACGGGCTCCCTGGGAGCCAGGGCGGAGCAGGCCGACAGACGACGTCGCCAGATCCGAGGCGCCCGCGGCCTCCAGAGGGCGCGGGAGGGCAGGAGGAGGAGGAAGACGAGGGAGGGCGGAGCCAGCAGCGGGGATGAGAGGAAAAGGAGGAGGCAGGAGGAGACGAGGCAGATGGGGTCGGAGGATCGCACCACATCGCTAATGCATCGCCGATGCCTCGGCGATGCATCGGCGATGCGTCGGCAACTTCGGCAATGCATCGGCGACGTCGGCGTGGGGAAGCACGGGCTCCCCATCGAGCCGCATAGGCGATGCATCAGCGATGCGGAAGGATCCTCCGACCCCATCTGCTCCGACCCCAACTACGGGGCCTAGAAAAGCACACGCGGCCTCCCGAAGCCCCGACCCTTTCTTGGCGGCGCGCACAACGGGGGAAGGGGGAGATGGGGGGGGCGGGCTTCTTCGAAGGAGGCTGCCTCTCAGAAAGCGCTGGCCCTGCATCGGTAGATTGAGGCCCGCGCCTCCTGAGAAGCAGAGAGTGTTTCTGAGGAGCCTTCCCCCTGCCCCTACCCCCATCTGCTCGAGCGCGGCCGAACCGACCCCTGGCTGACCAGCCCCTCCGTGGCGGCATCCTCGCCCTTCGAGCCTCCCTCCGACCACATACGCTTGTCTTGGGGCGAGGCGACGTGGACGTCACGGACGGGGATGGTTTGTTAGGGGTCGGTCAGGCCGCCCCTGATCTGGGGGGATCAAAAGGTACCCATACCGCTACTCCCCGGACCTCTCCTGGGGTGCGTTCTGGCGTTCTGACCAAGACTTCGAGGCGAATCCAGCGGCGGCGACGAGGGCATCCCAGGAGGCCCAAAAAGATTGGAAAACGATACAAGGGTCGCGTTATGGGTGCCTTGTCCTCCTCTGCTGATCTGCGCGTGGAGGCCCTTCCCCGGCGCCAGCTGCTGCCTGGGCCCCACTCTCCCCGTCCGCCCCCGCGGGCTCTCGGCGTGTGCACGGGGAGGCGCGGCCTGCGCCGGCGGGCCCTCGGCTGCAGGCGGGCCCGCAGCTGCGGGGCGCGGGGGGGGCGGATCGGGCGGGAGCAGGTGACGACCTGCCAGGCCACCCCAACCCAACCCGAAGACCCGAGTTTGGGGTTGGGGGTGGCACGGGCCTCAGAGGTTTTTGTCTCGGTGTTCCCCAACCCCCCCCCCACACACAGTGGAAGTGGAGGGTTCGTCGGGGCCTTCGGGTTGCGTCGGGGTTGTGGATGCCATGATAATGGGCACCCGATCAATTGTATCATTGAGCTGAACATGTGTTTACAATGTCGAAAACTGTTATAAAAAGAATGCAAACATGTTTTTACATGTTTTAAACATGCTTAAAACATCTGTCAGACATCTGGAAACTATTTGGCAACATGCTCCCTCTCCATTGGTCGTCGTCCACTAGGTTGGGGTGGTCTGGTGGGCGGTGGGCAGGGGGAGCAGGCCGAGCAGCGCAGTGCGAGACGAAGTTGTGTGTTTCAATCCGATCCCGGGGAACGAAAGCAAGGGCCACCCTCTCCTGAACACCCCATCGTCCACGATGGCCGAGGCTTGGGCGATCGACGCCTTTTTTCCATAACCCTGCTCACGTCTGATATCCGAGACGGGGTAGACTAGGGGCATGGATCTAAATATCTCAAAAAAAAATCAAAAACATAAAAATTTGGAGTCGAAGATTCGTTTCACGCCCTGCTGGGCCTGGCGCCCAGGAGTTGGGGCAGCAGCAAGGGTATGAATCCAACGTCGATCGCAGAAGGATGACGCACAGAGGGATGATCGTTCGTTCGTTCGTTAAGCGTCCTGCTGGGGTCTCCTGACCAACCAAAGAATGCTGATGGTAACGTACTTGAAATAACAAGTCCATGAGGAGCCCTGAGCATTGTCATTGGTCGTCTTCGGAATGCCCATCGCCGTCAGGCGGCGGATTGGCTGTGGAGGCGTATCCCCATGTTGGTTCAAGAGTATGGGTTTCGCGCTTCCACGCAATGGAAGCTGGTACCATGATGTTGTTTCCAAGCTCGTCTTGGGTTGGGGTAAAGTGGCGTAAAAACGGGGTATATGCGCTTTTCGGAGTGGTCAGGCGGATGTCGCCCATGGTGGATATAGCGTGTCCGCTGAGGGCGTTTTCGCCTGCTTGCCAATACTCACGCTCGAACGTCGCAGTGGTGCCGGCGGCATACCAAGCCGTGCCGTGGAGAAGTATTGCGATAGACAAGGCTGCCCACAGCTCAGGGCCAGCTCCGCTACCAAGTTAAAAGCTGGGGGAGGACCATGTGGTAATAGGTTGTGATGAGAGATAGTGGATAGGATAGTGTAAGTTCGATCGGGTGACTGATCGGGTCTTAGTGGATGGATGTGATAGGATAGTGGATGTGATTGTGATGACTGATCGGGTCTTAGTTGTAAGTACGATAGTGGATTGCTGCGTCCACTGTCAATCTAGGCAACTCAGGCGCCGGCGTCTTGAGCCAGACGCCGACGGCACGCTCGCTATGCTCGCTACACACATGCCCCGCTGAACCCCTACTTCAGTCACCGCCCCCCCCCGCCCCACACACGCACAACCTTTTACGTCAGCGGCGCAGAGGGTCCTGAGGCGCGAGCAGCAGATGGAAGTGCTGATTGCGATCGATCGTTGACGAAGGAGCGATGCACAGACCGTTGCACACTGTCACATGCCGCAATGGGCGCTGTGAAGGAGGACACATACACACACACACACACACACACACACACACATATATATATATATATATATATATATATATATATATATATATATATATATATACGTACCCCAGGTGCGGCCACTCCCCCCTGCTGACTGAACGTGCGGCAAAACTGTGGACACAAAACACTTCGGGCGGGTCTGGCAATGGAGTGGCCAAAAATCTGACAGTTTGTCATCCATCTGTCTGACTTGTAGTCCGCAGAACCGTTGGAAACGAGGCCACCAGACGCTCAGGAATCGATTCCTCCGATCGTCAACTTCCAGGGCCTGCTTTAGCAACCTCTTGGGATACGCCCCTGTGTCAACGGCTTCTCATCGGATACACCATTCAAAACACGCGCTCAGATAACCTAAACGCACACTCTGCTATCAGACCGTGTCGGGGTTGATTTTAGTTCGCGTCATGTCGACACGTCCACGTAGAAATGTAAACTCATTGTCGCAGATTGACCGCAGCCCCCAGAAGTCTCCGAGAACGTCTAGCCACAATCGAATCAGATGCATATTTTCAGACGGCCTCAACCTGGCGCTTGGACCTGCGACTGGTAGCGACCAGTCTGCCAGCAAGGTGGCCGCCTCCTTGGGAAGATCTCGGACCGCTGCATCTCGTGAAGCAGTCGCGGATTGACA